TGTGTGTGTGTGTGTGTGTGTGTGTGTGTGTGTGTGTGTGTGTGTGACAGTCTATTATTGTGTCCTCTCGTTCGCCCCGTGTAGAAGTGAGGTACACCCTTCTGCTGTCATCATTCCATCAACATTTGACGACAAGAAGAAAATAATATATAATTTGGAACTGGTTATTTCCCCATCCAGAGATCGATATCTTGTTTCAAAGTCCAAAGAAAAACCAAGCGTCCATCTCCTCAAAAACTGTTTATGTGGCATCGTGGTAAAATAAGGCGCTCGTCAAAATAAGGAAACTAGATTAAAAAATATGTTTTTTTCCTCATATTGGGTAATTTTCATGTATGTTTGAAACTTTGGCTCAACGTCTTTTAAGTCAATTTAAAAACTAATAAACGTTGATCAAAGGCACAAAGATGTAAATTTGCAGTTTCCAAAGACTCTCAAGCTTTAGAAGTCACCAAACTTTGGCTGCCATTTTCGAGTTTATTTCAGCTCTGATACCAGACATCCCTCACACCCTTAACTCGCAAATATCTCGACTTCCATTCAAGATAAATGGGTATTTTTCCACTAGAAGCCAGATACATGAAAAAGCTCCAATATTATGCCATAGCTCCCTACACCCAAAAACTAACGAGGGCCTGATTCCGCCGTGACATGTCACATTTGCCAGTTTTGTCTCTGGGAGACCTCGGATGACCCTCACAGCTCAGCGCTGACCACTCGAGTGGACGCAGGAGGCAGCTGCAGACGACAAGGATACTTCTGTCCACCCTTTCCAGTAGCCCCCAGACGGTGGTCAATACAATGTCCAGTCCTCCAAGTGGACTTTAATGGGAGCCCAGCACATGGCACGCGTGGGCAGACGGGCGGACAGCAATGAAGGCTTTGACAGCTCTACTTAATGTGATGGTGTTTATTGGACACACGGCTTGCCATACACAGCTATTATAATGTCATCTATGATTATACTTAATATGACGATGGTTAGTGGGTGTACGGCTTTCCATACAGAGCTCATTATCTATGATTGCACTCAATGTTACTATGTTTTTTGGGCGCACGGCTTGCCATACACAGCTCATTATCTTTGATTATACTTCATGGACGAGGTAAGCGATTGGTCGAGAATCTTGTAAAATAAGAAGCAGGACTACAGACAATCGGCTGGGAGTATCTTCTGAAATATCCCAGCAAAGAAAAGAGTGTTCTTGTTGTTGAGGATAAGGATGGTGATGTTAGAACTGGTGTTTCTTTCTTCTGGTAATTGTTTCCGCTGGTCGTCTCTTGAAAGTTTGTCAGAGAGAGTCATTCCATTCTTCATCTTCTTCTTGTTCCCCCTGTATTATAAACTCTCCGGGCAGACAATAGATTTCCTGGGCTGATCATAGAGAAAAACGAGGTTGAATGAACCGTTACTAAAACCGATTTGCATATAGAGCGACACATTGCAGAAATCAACACTTTTTTCGCCATATGCACGCGCGCACAAACACGTACTCACAGGGAATCAGAGAAATACACATATACACATACACACCTAAAACCACACACACATCCACATATCCACATAAACAAACAAACATACACACATCCACACTTCTTTGTTGTCTCCTCTCACTCTCCCTCATCCCTCCTCTCTCTCTCTCTCTCTCTCT